GTCAGCTTCCCTGACCACTATACCGACTGAGCGGCAATTGTAGCAACACTGAGATCCGAACATAGCTAGATGAGCAGTTTCGTTAAACTACTGTACAGGCTCAAGAATAGGAATAAGGTTAAATGGATCGCGGAAAGTTCCGCCATAATTTTCAAGACCTTAGTCTGTAATCCCAGACTGTACATGGGCGATTGCGCCTATTCTATCCTGGAGTCCTTCTACACGAACAGGTGTCAGAAGCTCTGGCATTAACAGGGCGCGTGCATGTATAGAGCATACTGAGGATACTACTCAAGCTCTCATAATACAAGATAATCCCAGGCCACCCGTCTCAGCTGCATGACTGTTCCGATTTGAATTATCGGACAGTCAATAACATGCCTACAAATCACCCGGCCTATGAAAACATCTGCTACAGTTATAGAGCACATGAAGGTATCAAAAGAAATACACACTACGACTAATGGTGAGTTCAGTTCCAATCACACCTCAGAAGAATCTCGCACAATTAAGATGTGACAGGTGAGAGCAGGATCCGGACACTCGGGCGGCTTTCACAGGCTATTCCGGTATCGTCCGGATCCCGCAGATGTCCAGAAAAACAACGTTGCCCAGAAAGGGCTGATGATGGAAGACAGACCTATTGCGGATTCTTACAATACCAATGCTTATTATACAATATATGATAATCTAGAGATTATATCTAAAAGTGGTGTTACTATGTTGAATTAAGACAGTAGTAATAACATCCTTATACGATATATATTAATAGTGCACTCGATATATTAATACATAGCATAATAAATGTTCCTAAAACTCTACAGACATACTGTAGAGCAGCACCGGTGCACATTATGCAACCTATATACTCCTTTATACATCATACATTAGTAATACATGCATACCTAAATTACATTAATACATACATATCATAAAATGTGCACTCGGAATATTGATACATTATACGTTATGCATAATAAATTATCCATTAATAGTGCACTCGATATATTAATACACACAATAATAAAAGTTTCTAAAAATCTACAGATATTCCAGAGAAGTACCTTGCTATACATTATACATTAATAATACATGCATGCATACATTACATTAATACATACATAACATAAAAAGTTCATGGCCCTATTCTATTACACTGAGCGTTAAACTCATGCATTAACATTACATTAAATGGCATAAAGATATCAATATGTATATATGAGTTAGTCTCCTATGGCTAAATGGACCGTGTTCGGCACAGCAGAGTTCAGTGAATAGCGCTTCACGTTTTAGCATCATTAGACGAATTTTCCTCTGTATTGAAGATTGTTTGACCATAAATCTTTTATAGGTGACTGTATTTGTATTTTGCAGAGCGTGGCGTAAGTGGGCCACGATGTCAGATATTGATTAGGCTCGCCCACATCTCCACATACACAGACATTGGTAGTTGTTAGGTGTCTATTATAAAAGTAACTGGGAAATGGCCCGTGTCCAGTTAGGAAGTGCGTTATATGTGGGTCTGATATTAACCTGTCTGTACTGACCCTGTGGAAGAACTCGTATGTGCGTCTGCTCTGTGGGATGGAATCCCAATCCTCTTACCAGTGTATCAGAGCATTCTACCATGTTGTCCTTTTAATGGTATTTGGGGAGCATGATTTTCATTTGCCGCGGATCTAGGTTCTGCGTCGCCTCCTTTGCAAATAAACCCACCTCCTCATTTCGCTGGTGCCCAAAATAAGCTTTAATCCAGGTAACGGGAAGTAGAAATACCGACGATCTGGCTCTCAGGAGTGCTTGGATTTCTGCAATAAGTGGGCTGAGATGATAAGGATTCATTATTGCATATATGGCCGATTGGCTTTCGGTGTAAATGCGATAGGAATTTTGGCTGGTAGCGGCTGCATAAGACAATGCTTGTTTCAAGGATGCTGTTTCTGCCTGGAACACGGAGTTGTTTCCTTTCAGGTTCACTTTCCATGCTGCGAGGTTATTCCCTTGAATCTTGGCGACAAAACTGCACCCCACCTGGTTGTCAAGTTTCGAGCCGTCTGTATTAAATGCATATTTCTTCTGAGATTTCTTCTCTGCCGGCGATGTAATCGATATGCGCATGCACTCCTCTGCCATATTCTGCGGAAAAACCTAGTATTATTGTTCTTTTTTCTTCAACGTGTGAGGGGTTATAATGCTCACTCATATAGGAAGACTGCTGTCTCAATAAAGTGACTTACATTATCGCTGCCTCTTTCTCCGCTTTGATGTGTAGCGGAATTATGCCCGCAAACACTGCTACCGTGATCGTTGCGGTTGTGCGGCACGCTTTTGTTATGGAAAGTGCATAGGGTCTTTGTATGCTTCTTAGGACTTTTAATTTCCTGGAGCTTACAGGAGTTGCTCAGACTCCTGCTGCGTAGATTGCTATTTTTTCGATTACTGTGCAGTACAGGATCTTGAAGATATGCGGTCAAAGATCCCCAATGTGCTCCTTGCATACTCTTTAGATTTCTAGCGATAGCGTGGATTTTTCAGTCTCACCTCCTCACCGCAGGATCCAGCTGAGCTTCTCATCTATCGTGAGGCTTGTTTCATTGCTATTGCACATAAGCTCATCATGCGTTCTAATAAGTGTCAGCGTTCATGCGTTCTAATCAGTGCGTGTGTGTTTGTGTGCGTTAGCCAAGCTTTATTAGCTGTAAATGTTATTTAACGCTTTCTACTAACAGTCAGTTGCAGGGCAATAAGATGCCTGCAATTTAGAAAATTTAAGTATAAAATTGTTGAAACTTCAGATTTTACGTTATTTTAGTGTTGTAACTCAAAATGATGATATCGTTCGACTCAGTTAGTTAATTGTTGAAAAATAAAGAATGAAACATTTCTAATTAAGTAAAAAATATATCTAGAACTTTAAACAATGTCTTAAATAAGTATGCAGTTACTGGAACATCATATGTTTCATCTTTTTAGTGTTGTAACTCGGTTAAATGTCCCAGGAGGAATTTAAAGTGTTTCACTTCATGCAAATAGAAAATGAATAATTGAGTTAATATTAAAGGATTTGTGTTTATGGAATTCTTCTTTATGCAACCATTTAATCAGCGTTGACCAGCTTTGTTGACAATTTCAGGTTACTGATTATCTGTTTAGCGCAGTGTCTTTTAATTGTAATAGCTTAATGGTAACATATTTTAAAGTAATATTTTTTTCTTTTCTTTTATACACCTAATTAAGAGGTAGAGAAACATGACACACCACATAATTAATTAAAAAAAGCCACCAACATGGTTGTTCAGGAGGTCAAAATTATGTTAGCCCAACTCTTATTACACAATCAGCTAGGTGCTACTGCTTCTCGCGCTTAAACCACCTTTTTTAGTAAAATATACAGTGCCAGTCGAAATACATTGCTAAGCTTCGCCATAACAGTCAATAACAGCTATCTTTCGCAGGGAAACCAAATACTACATTCTTGTAGTATTAGTTTCTTTGCTTTACCAAGTTTGTCGGCAAAGCGAAAATAGTGCACAATTTTGAGGGCTCATTTCTTGCATTAAAAATAAATATTTAAGGTTAGGGCCACCTCACATAAGGTATTTATGATTAAATGTTATTCCTATGGTATTAAAAAAAAAAGAGTTCGTTGAAAGTTTTAATCTCACTATTTACTGTTTCCTTTCTAAAGCAGTTAAGAAGCGTACACTTTTGCCTTGGGATACGATCGAGATTCGAATTTTAGAAAAACAAAATTCATAGTTATATTAATAGTACGTATTCGTATGTTTTTAGACCCATACAGTGACTTTTAGACGGTTGAACGTCTTCGCTAAAGATGCTGAAGTAGCATATATAGAAAAAAGCATCCTATTTGTGCCTATTATTTCAGAATCCGGGAATTTTTTTCAGAAACACAATTAATTGTTATCTTCTTGTTATGCTACACTTACAAGCTTAATCATTCATTTATCGTAATGCTCTAAAACATATATTGATCCAAATTTTCCATAACTTTGGAAAGTTATCATATTTTAAAACCGTAAACAAACGGAAAAGAAACAACATCTTAGTTAGTAGTACTCTTATCCTAACAGTTTCACGTATGATAATTTCATTTTTGAGAAATAAGAAAAAGATATTTTAAGAAATTAATTAATTAAGAAATTTTACCCCTTTTCTTGCAAGAGATCAATTTAATAGCAAAATAAATAAGAATGTAAATAATATTTTAAGTTGCCTTAATTGAAAGCGTATGTTTATTGCTTTCTTAAAGTGATCATGTAAACAGCATGCAAAATTTAACTTAACATCTTTAGTTAAAAGATAGGTAGAAACACGGTAAAAGACCTCTTATATTTTCGCGTAACACCTCCAGAGGCAATGCAGGTTACGAATAGCTTTAGAAACGTGGTGTTCCCGGAATGACACTTCTCTGACTGTGTAGCAATATGCCATTTCGTTTATCAGATTGCATGTATGGAATTTCTTGTCAAAGAATGTCTTGTAAATAAATACATCTCTAAACCTTCTAAAGAATTACATATGTTTCCCTAATAAATATCTTTTTCATTCTCCGATGAAATGACTACTTGTTCGCGCTTTGTATAAACGATATCTATTTTCTTACATGCTTCCACGTATGCAACCAATTTCGCTGTAGTTTGATAAACCTTATCTTTTCCTTAAAGCTGACAAAACTGCACGCAGTTTTACCTCAGGTAGTAAGGTGTTATAGTACAACTGGCTACTACGAAATTTTTATTTTTTATCTCCGTATATCTCTCATATCCTGAGTTTCCCTTAAATTCTTTCTTGACTGCTTGCTATAAAATGTGATTATAATCTTTGATTCCTCAAGTATCACCTTTACTTTTATCAAGTATCATCTTTGATTTCTCCAATAGTGTTTCTTTGAAAATATTTTGTTAAACATTTTGCTACTTAATTTTGCATGGTAAATTTTGAATTTAATGTTTAATTATCTTATTCTTTTATTTCAGTTGTACACACCATCAGCAAGTATGATCCTCATAGAAGGCTTAACGGAGCAACTACATCCAAATGAATATACTCAAGTCTGAGAAAAGTAGAGTATTTCATAAATCAGAAATATGTTACGTCCATCATAGAGACAGACATCCAGATAATATACGAATGCTCGAAGTTTTAATGATATTCTACATTATTCAGAGACTGTAGTTTGTAATTTATCTTTTCATGAGCAAAGCTTAAATTCCTTCAAGTTGGATATTACTGATCACTCTTTTAAGAGGAAATAGCTAGTGAAAAGACATAGTTCGAAGTATAGTGAAAAATAGGCTTATTTTAAACATTTTAACTATTAGTGCAGCTATTTTACCTAATGAAGTTCCAATCTTGTCTTCAATTCTTGCCTTTATGACGTGATGTGCATTTTGCTACGTTACGAGAGCATATAATCTGGAAAACAAAACATTGTATTAAAAGTTGATAAGCACTTATTTACTGACGATATATTTATATATTGTTAGCTCGTTCATTCTTGAGCTGCATAACAACAATTCTGAGAGTCATGTAATGTGACAATGCAATCCTTTCGTGGGTCATGATTATTACTCAGCTATAGTTCCCTACGTGATGATAACGTTAACCTAAAAGCTTTATTTAAGGGTTTTATTAATGAAAGGTGGAAATCAGATTTAAACTGCTTTAGACAGCAAAATAATAGTCGCTTATTTATAACTGGTAAGTGAACTGGAGAAATGGAGAATCATCATAAATTGTTGAGTATAAAATAGTGTTTTAAAGATGTAGTTTAAACTCTGTGCAGTGAAAGAGATTAAATTTGGAATGTGCATATGAAATAATTATTCAGCGAAGTTATCGGCTGGGCATAATAATAATTTACTTATGCATGAAATGATATAAATTATTATTCCCTAAGCCGTCATTGATTTTAAATTTCCAGGAAATTCAATAAGGTCTAAAAATATAGTTATAAGTGTAATATTTAGGATGAACGCAAGCAACATTCCATTTAGAAATTTAATATATTCATTACCTACCAAAGGATTAGCTAGGTTCACAGAAGCAATGTAAATATAGTTCTGATGAGTTGCTTAGTAGCAACTCTGCTTTGTTATAATTCAGAATAGTTGGAAATGAACTTTTGACAATCTACTGGAAATTCAAAGTCTGTGCTGTAATAGCCACTGAATGAAATTTCTTACTAGAAACTACGTTTTTCCTAACGTCAGAGTATATAGTCATTATCTATGTTTAAGATAGACAACTCTATCACTAAAAATTTAGGTAACATTGAAATGCAACATATATATTTCCTCGAAAGGAAAAAATGAGTCTAACGGCAATATTCAAATTACAGGAAGTAATATAATTAGTGGTTTTAATGTACCAGTAGTTAAGGGGATTTACAGTTAATTATATCTGTATTGCATATAGAGTTTCTTAACTTTTAGCTGGAATAGGGGTAAATTAAGCAAATTAACAAAATTGATGAAATTTGTTTGGAACTCAGGAAAAGCTTTGCACTTGTTAAAAACTGCAATAATTCTTGCTCTAAAATAATTTTAGTTAAAATAAAAATAAAAATTTTATTGAATTGTTCTCTATTTAATACTTACAATTAGTATATTCTGTCTTCGGCTCTGGTATCTCTATCGCCTCTAAAACGAAATTGAAAAACATCACAGACATTTATGCAACCTATAAGCAATATTTCATAAAATACAACTGCAGTGTGTATCAAACAACAGCAAACCCTCAAGATAGTCGATATTACATAATATATAGTTAAAAATGTGCAGAATATAAGATTATGTTTTATTCCATTTGTGACTTTTCTTCCCGTCATGATTGCCTTGTTAATAGTTAATATTTATATCTTCCACTAAGTACATATCACATTTCTATTTAAGGAGATAGCGCGCAATATTTCGTCTTTCCTGATGACGCAGGGGGATGAACAGCAGGCATGACATTTGCATGGTCGGTTAATCATGTGGCTGAACGTCACAATATAGACGGGAGCTTTATTGCGTTTAAGAGACATGTATCCAGAGTCATATGTGCCACAACATCTTATATTAGAATATTTTTTTTTATTCTTACAGCATTATCTTGGCACGAGTAATTTAAAAATTAAAAACTCAGAATCATTTTCGAAATATATAAATAAAACGAAGGAAAATTTAATAAATCGCATTTTTTCTTAGATAATTTTCTGTAAGCTAAAATGTGTAAGTTTCAAATTTAGCATTGAAACATTAAATTTCCGTTTTCGTCACGTTAACACAAAATCTCATACTATATATTACTAGATAATAGTGGCTCCATTAGTATTATTAGCTTTTTATAATAATGACATTTCATCAGAATAAAACTTGAAAAGGTGTGCTGGACGCCAAAAGTCTTCAAAAAATGGTGATATGAGACTCTTGCATTTCCAAATTTTTGACAGTTTTATCGTTCTAAAAATACCATACTTTAACCTGTATTAAAATCAGAACCATAAGAAATGTAGTTTCAATTAATCATAGAATGTTTTAATAAATGAGTAATAATTATTACATAAAAATGCGTTTTTCTCCACATATGATTTTTTTATAATTGAAGTACCTTTTCTCGGGAACTACTGCTCTCAGGTAAGTAAATTCTATATCACTTATTTTATATGTTTCCTAAAGTTTACTAAAATTAGCTTGTTATGATAAACTAAGAAAAAAACACATGTTTACAATTTGTTTCGTGTTTGTGCGTCTGAAAAAAGTGCTAAATTTTACTGTGCCTAATACACTATTCTATAAATTATTCTAAAACTCAAAATGTTTCAAAAGATCATTTCAGTATAATCAGGATGGTGTACTTTCTGTTTCCTTCAAAAAGGTAGAAATATTTCCTAAATAATTTCTTGTGAGTTTGAGAATTAATACTTTATTAAAAAGATTTTCAGCCTCAAATGCAAGCTGAAGTGCACTCACTCAATGAGAGATGTTTCTCCCATTTTTTATCAAGATATCATGAGAACTAACCTTGGCCTTTTGCTGAACATAATTCTGCTTAGTAGTCTTTCTTTAATTTTTATATGAGTTTATTACCCTTACCTCGTTTTTTATTTATGATATGTTAATAATTTTAGCAACTTCATTAAGCCAGCTTCGTGATGCAAAAAAATGAACTCTTTTTCGTCTTTAGACGATTGGCAACTTTTACCACGCTTATTAGAAATTAGGCAAATTTTGTTTTAAATTAAATATATTAAAATATTTCGCTATCGACCAAAACGGATTTGTACTGTTTAAAGCCTGTGTGTTTGTTTAGTATGCCTCAAAATACTGAAAAGGAAGTGTATCAGTTTTGATTTGACACACTTTCACAAACATAGATTTGCTATTGCTATGATTTTTTAAGATTTGCAAATACATATTTGGGAATTCAATTACTAAAAATGATTTTAATTTGAATATTGTATGGAATATTAATCAGTATAGCGAATGTGTTGCTAATCAGTATGCGAAAAATGTTCATTTATAATTGATTATTTTAAGATTATTGCTGAATATACATACATCCACATTTATACGAGTTCCACTTTTTCTCAAAATATTTATCTTCGTCTTTATATAATTCAACAGTTCAAGAAGATCGCATTAAAAATCTATAGTTTTTTCTTAAAGCATCACCATGAGAAAATAAGCTCTGCCATAACAATAGCTTCCATTTTTCAATGACAGCGCAATGAAGGAAATTTCATATGCTTTTAAATAAATAAGTAGTACCTGAATTTAGAAATCTAGAGTAAAAAATAATGTATTAAATAGATTAATAACTTCTTCTAGAAATGTTATAAAAATTGAAACACTCCAATACTTTGTCGCCAAGACTAAAAATTATGTTAATCACAATGTGTTGGAAATTTAAACTGTAAACGTAAATTATATTAATGGTATGTTACGGAAATCTCTCTGCTTTTGTCAGAATAACAGCGTATACTTAAATCCAGCAATTTATTGAAATATGCCCTTTTCATTGACGTCTCTGAGATTTTGCTAATTTAATTATACTTGAAACATCTCAACATTCTAGTTTCGCATCTATGTATTAAACACATAATTTATTCCAGGGTTAATTTGATATTACTGAGAATGCAGGGATATCACGTTAAAAACCTTTATATTATTAATCTTACGCAACTTGGAATAGAATATTTTTAGAGGTCTGTAGAGGATGACATAAATTGGCCTTAGCTAAGAACGTCTGCGCGCTTAGACGCATAGAGGCTTGAAAAAATTCTCTTTAACAAATATTTACTTTACGTCCTCTTCTCAGATATTTAGGAGCATCTGATGACAGACTTTGATTTCAGACGTTAGAATGTAGTTCTTTATCATGGTGTTACACAATAAAAATATATTTGGACACATTTCAGAACGCAAAGGAATCAAAGCAAGAACTACAAATTTCAGGTATGTCTAGATGGGAAGAAAATTTCGTATGTTCATGACTAAACAATAAAATAAACCGATTTTATTTGTTATAAGTTAATCTATGTATACTATAAGAAAGATGAAGAACTAGACAATTAAAGCATTTAACTCATTAAATTTGATTATTGTTGTAAGATAAGCTCTCATTAAATGTCATAAGAAAATAAAGTCATTTATATATATATTTTAAAATTTTATGCATCAGAAAAAATCTTATCAGGCTTGCTAATTAATAAGAGGGCATTACTGAAATCTGAGCAATATAACTTCTAAAGCAAAGATCATTATAAATTTTAAATTAAAATTGTGTTTCGGTTGTTTTATATATTTGTTTTGTTATATACAAAGAGCAGGAGATTGTGAAACGTGCTAATGTCTACATATAATCGCGTGCAAAGAGTCAATCTACAATATTTTACCTCCGTAATCTAACTGCGTGCATCTCTTACAAATTAAAGCAACTTTTGCATATGAAAATCAATATTTTCAGAAACAAGATAATTTGTCTGCTATTAACCTTTGGAAATCATCCATGGCGATAATGTGGCGTCTTTTTGGTAATTAATTCTATCTTTGGCGATACAAATTGGCGCCTCATTTCCTGAACCGAGGTCATTTAGTTTTGTACCTCTTGTGAGGATTCAGCTGAGTGCATTGCAGTTAACGATGGGAATTTCGGATAATGGAGCTAAAAATACATTATTTTCTCTCTACCTAGCTCCTTTTTAGTAAAGGCTCTTTAAAATCGTCGATCTTGTTATAACAAAAAGTGCACCGTGTTTAATTTTTATGCTGTTTCTTCCGAAATATTTCCACAAAATTGCAAAGAGTTGCCTAGTCGACATAATTTGATACGCTACTTATTTAAAGATGTTTAAATTTCAAATAATTGAACTGCAGTTCATTCAAAATATAGATCATAAGCAATGCTATATTTTGACATCTTTTTAACTACATTGATAAAAGATAGATTTATTTTTTTAATGTGGAGAACTGAGAAAAGAGGTACAACGTTGCATCAATTTATCGATAAAATATAGTTAGTTTGCATTAAATATTAAGAAGGAAATCTAGTTTACTGCATTTGCATGAGGAAAAAATCTTATAATCTTTTTTTAGTGTGAACACTTAAGGTGCCTAAACAATTTATAATCAAATATTCTGCTTGATAAGAAATAATTTTGCGACTATTCTGAACACCTTAATTTTGTACTTTAGAATATTTCCTACTACAGAATACGAGTTTCAGTTCAAACGCTACAAATAAACATTTTGCCTACAGATAAATTTATTCTTTGAAAAGCTCTCTTGATGAAATAATGTAAAAACATATCTGCTTAGACAAGTAATTATCATTACGTATGAAATTATATGAAAAAGTAAAAAAATATGTAAAAATATGTAAAATTTAAAAAGTATGCAAAATGGATATAGAAGTTCTTGCTATTCGTTTAATTGCGATCACAATGTAAGATTTTAGATACTTCTCTCATCCTGAAATATGGTATTTAATTACATGCGGTCACAAATGGAAGAAAATAAAGAAAAGAAGGAAGAAAAGTTATTTTTAGGCTTCATATTTTCAATAAATTAAGTTCATAAGAGTGTTTCATTAGGTAACTTTCATGTAACTTGCGGAAAATTTAATTTCACTGTTCTGTACTTGCGTTTCCCAAAAGAGTCTAAAATTTGAAATGACTCGAAAGAATAAAATAGAAATCATTATATAAAACTTAAGTAAAGCCTCGTGTAAATTTTAAAATATTAGTTTCTTTACTTCTTTGAAAACTAAAAAATAATTTTTATTTATAATATATTGATAAATAAGTTGTTTCACATTGCAAAATAATTTACTCTTATAAAACAAATAACTCAAAAACTCTTATAAATTTAAAATATTTATGAAGGAAATAATGACAGTAAATTTACTGATCACTCTTCCAGTATAATAAAATTGTTATGCAATAGAAAAATAATAATATGTAAGTACACGCAAATAAAATTATAATTGCGTATAATTTCGTGAATTTCTCTTAATTCGTATAAAAGATATGGAGTTTCTTTGTTATAAGTGCTCATTAACTGTATTATTCATTATTTATTTATTGTAAAACAGTGTTGTTGGTGGGCTTAAAAATATCTTCAGAATGGAATAAAAATCACAGCATAACGGTTTGACTCTTGTAATTTTTGTTTCCTAATAGTCTGAAGTTATATACTTCAATCCAATCAAATCCTTGTTTACTTGAAAACATCAAACGATAGTTAGAAGAGAATTATAATAAGCATAAGCGTTTGGACACATGCAATACGTATTTTTGCATGCCTCAACAGATTTCTTGAGAGTTAAATGAGCCATTTATATGCCTTACTAGGTTTCAAAACATAACATTACTTAAAAAATTGAACCCTAATGTAACAGAAGTGAAAGCGTATATCATAGAGCCTAGCTAAAGCTCTTCAAATCCAGAACATTGCTCGTAAAATCAGTTTTAGGAAATGAGCAATGCTTTATTAAGCTTACTGAAACATATGTGTCTTCGTGATTGTGTTTTTGCAATTGTTGGCAGTTTTACACATATATGCAAAAGATTTACTTAATAAAATCTAATTTAATCAGACTTGTTTAGACTTGCTTTATTGAAGTACATTTCATTATAATTTTACTAAGAGAAAAATTATTCTTTTCTCTAACATACTAAATTTATTACACAATAAGTACTGTACCATTCATTACAGTCATATCTAGGTTTTTCTCACCTAGGACTAAATTAAATATGTGTCCTCATACATAAAACCTTCAAACCCTAGTACAATATAAATGCACACATGCACACTTGTTGTAAATTGTCTTTTGTTTCAGCAATGATTCATAACTATGATAATGGTTTTCATTAGGAGCTTCTATGTTTTCAAAAATAAGTTACTCAAAGGATTATATTCAGATAATTAGAAATCAGTTTAGTAAAACTCAGACAAAATAACAAGTAATAACAGAATTAAACAACTTATTAAAAATTTTATTTTTCATAACTCGTTATGGTGAACTGAGAATTAACACAAAAATAAGGTACATAGTTTGTAATTTAATTTTTTCTGTTTTTATTTCAGGAAAATCACCAATAATGTTCTTAAAAGTTTGATTGCTTAATTTCTGTAGGATATATGGGAGCTTCACTGCTTTTCTTAACAAAATGATGAATTTAGGTAATGTTTTGTTACTAAAAGTCTCAAAAAGCTTAAAGAACTTTAATAACTGCTGATATTAAGAATATTTCTAATGCATATTACATATTTAGATATGAAAGCTCCTACAATTCAATGAAATTCTTTGCCAGTAGCGGGCGATACAGATCGGGAGACAATCTTCATTTGATTTCTCCGCTCTAAAACAGGCTCAAAAATTCCTCTTGGCATCCAATTTTCCAGAAACAATATATTGCATACAGAAATTCTTGCGCTATCGGATGAATTCGATACTCAAACTGGAATATACTTTGCCCTACAGTTTTGGAGTGTTACAATGAAGTTCACTGCGCAAGCATTTTACTCTCTCCTTTGGTGGACCACGAAGGGAAATTTGAGTTTAATCATTCTTTGTATATTTATTTTACATTCTTTTAAAGGAACGTTGTGAAAATAAAATTGCATATGTCTGCAATTTTCATACAATATTACTTAAACAAAGTAAATCGAAACAAATTAAAATTAAATTATTTAATGATTTATTATTTTTCTAAGCGAATGTTTTTGCTCTTTCCTAGAAACGCAATTTTTGCATTGACAAACGTCCTTTACATACAACATGGAAATCGTACGTCCTGTAAATGTTCCGTATGAATTAAGAACGTCCTGAAACTTCATATAATCTTATTCTATTTCAAATAAGAATTCTAAATTCTTCAAGTCTTCACAAGAAACACTAAGAATGTTTTCTAAAAAAAAAAAAAAAAAAAAAAAAAAAACGTTATTTACCGTCGAATTTTTGAGATCATGCTTCTTCAGATCTAGAATACTTCAGCCGAGAGCTAAAAACATATCTAAAGGAGTGCAGTCTACAGTTCCGTATAAAAGCATTATATAAACAGAAAACAAATTCATTTTAGAATTTTCAGTTATTTTAAAATTTATCTGTGAATCTTTGAAATAAATATTACTCCCTCTAAGCGGCAAGGCCGTATATATACGGACTAGAATATTTATTGTGATATCTGTAAGAACGTATATATACGTGCATATTAAAATATGTCAACGAAATTAAGGCAATATATCAAAAGAAAACAAATCCAGGTATGAAATACCAGGAGAGATTTTGCATTAAAATCAAAACAAAATTTGTTCTCATAGTAGTTTTGGGAAATTTTTGCTTTCTTAGCGAAAACCCTGGCCGCCCATAGGGTTAATGCCTTAACTATAATTCATGCACGACTCCCTATAACAGAATTGTTATGTATTAAAAGTGCTGATTGCAGTAAACTATTTCTACGCAAAAGTAATGTACTTAAGTCATTTCAAATATGGTGATACAAGGACAGTTACGTAGTTTCGTTGAAATGAGATGTAAGATCTAAACGCGAACTAAACATTTCTGGAAACTTAACAACAAAATACAAACTGGAGTAAACCAAATTACGCCTTCTAGACTCTGCGATTGGCTTCAGTACTGCAGCACCTCTGTACTTCAGATTCACTGGAATACCTTGGATACACAAGCAGACATTCATACAGTTGTTTGGTTCCTTTCATTTGCCAAATATAAAAACTGCATGTAATATTTTTATCTTTTCCGTAAATTTCCTTATTTTCCTTATCTAATTTGATATCTGTTATAATTAAGACAAGTGCCTCAGTTGCATCACATTTGTCTCGGCCCTGCTACACCTGATACATAAGAAAAATTATATGGACAGTGATTTGCTACTACTAGCTGTTTAAACGTTTGGGGCTAAGTAGTTATTCAAAGATGAATCCGGATCAGATATTAATGCAGAGTTGAAACCGCAATACGATGGAGGAATCGTTGGGGAGCTGTAAAACGTCTTCGCAGTTTATCCGTTTTTCAACAACCTACCGCAAATGTAATAGGATGGAAGGTTTAAAAAATGTAGAGTTGAAGAAAGGCACATAGGTCTGTCAACTATAATGGTTAAGTTTCTATACGTCTCAACCTACAGCGATACCCGACGAGGCGTACTTTGAATCTCCAAATGCTTGTATTGCTACATTAAAGATTACGTGAAGCGGGATCCTTCGAGAGACGTGACGCGAATCAAGGACAAACAGCATGAACCCTTGAAATTGAAAAGAGGGTGACTGATTAAGCAGAAGATACTTCACGTGCCAGTACGTTAGAAAACACTACTCGTTTCAATTCTACCTAAATCACTATTTTATCTATCCTGAATATGAACCAGTTTCATGCACATCATAAGCAGCACGTCCAGCTATTGCAGCCTGATGATTACCCTCAGAGAGTGCTTTTACTTAATTGCATCTGTAGAAGAGAATGGTGGCCCACCCTTTTCCGGCTTCCGTCTTATTCGCAAACGAGGGATACGTCACCAGGACAGGTTACTACAATATACATAACTCGCGAACATTAGCGGTGAAGAGCCCAGTGCTACACGAAAATGTCCAAAACAATACCTGTTTGCTCTCAGTGTTTGGTCTGGCTTGGAAGAGACCTCTTAACAGATATTATAAAATTTATTCGGAGGAAGTCTTGTACGATTTTCGAATGACTAACAAATCCAAAATTTGTTGCGCCATGATATATACTACCGCATAAAGAGGCTCCAAATCATTTCAGCCATGACCTCAAGGACATTTTAAATGCGATATTAAATCATGTGGATCGGACATGGTGGCTGCATTCATTACCTTGAGCAATTTCCGGACCCATGCTAACAGAAAGTAGTTTTCTTAGGTTTAGTAGACTAACTTCTGTAGTCTCCCACTATGTTACCTTAACTTTGAAGTTTCACCGCATGTTAATTTAAATACCAGCAAATGACGACATTTCCTTATATGCACAAGTTGTGTTTTCTGCGCGCTTCAAAATTAAGCAGAAATATTATTTAAAGACTTCTCAAGATTTTTATCATAATATTTTGGACATAGGGAGTCATTTGTTAATCTCATAGGACCAGAAGGTCTGGGCCCAAATTTTTCACAAGTAGGACGATCTGACTGACTGAAACAATTCGGTCTATCAGCCGAAATGCCAACAAATTTGTTTGGGGTTGTAATGACGATATGGAAAAACGCGATGCTTTGAAAAATAATTAGACCTAGATGTCTCCAATAGGGGAACATTTGGTGCTGTTGTATTCTAAGTACCTGAGAATTACATAAAAAATTAAAACGAAGAAATTTCAGTGCAGCACCGCTTCGATGCAGCAAATGAACTGCCCCAGAGAATTACAGAGATGATATTTTAGTGCCATAGAACTGTGTTCAATAAATGCACTTCGTCGGCGAGATCATAGAACTCTTACAATGTGATAATCCTCCTCGTGGACCATCCATTGAATGCTGTACACAACATGTCCGAAGTACGCAAAATCTAGAAGTACACGACGTAGTACTGCTGTACATAACATTCCAGGAATTCGATGTTCACCAGTGTGCAAGCAAACCCGCACTAGGGAACTGCTTGTCGTTAATTTATATACACTAATTAGGAAAAGGAAGATGAGGAGCAGCTTCATGATTGTTTGAGTTCACCTCGCCGAACCACGTGCGGAGACCAGCCATGTGTTTAATACTTCCAATATAGAGCTTTATATAGCATCTAAAAAAAACAAACCTACTGTTCGGAAGGACTGTCTTCTTTAGTAAATATCCTAAGTTCTGCCTTTCTCCTGACCTTTTTCGAGCGGATTCTTGAAAATTATGCATTTCGGCGTATTCTTTATGTGTATGCATTGCGGCGTATTCTTGATTTGCGCTTCTAATATATATATATTACTCAAGTATAATCATAATAATACAAAAAATAATAAAATAGTTCACATGTGAAGGTTTATTCTTTTTACGCCTGCCATTGCACGGTCTGGGTAAGTACTGTGAATAATGTTTTCTTTCCTTAGGTCACATATTGCATCTTACATTCAAGTTTCTTAGAGTTATTAAGGTCATAATATTAACTTCACAATTGTACTATTTTTTAATTTT